ACGCACGCACGCACGCACGCACGCACGCACGCACACACACACACACACACGCACACGCACACACACAGTGACACACACACACATACATGTCAAAGGTTACATTCCCTATAGTAGAAGTAACCCACGCATAAAATTCTCTCAGTTCTTAAGCCCTAAATGTGAATGGCTGCTCCATCATGAACACTATAAGGCCAGATTACAAGCAAATACGCTTGCTGTTATCACTATATTGTTTTTTTTAACACGGCAATATACTTTCTTCTGTTGGTACTGAATGTTTGCATTTACCAATAGATGTAAACACTGATAACATCTTTTAGACAGTGCATGGCATGTCATAAAGCCGTGTACAAACAGACTAGCTAGAACTTCTCTAGTAGAAGATAACGAGTGATTTTGAAAGTGAGATTGAAAGTCATGTAACCATATCAGGAGTGTCATAATATAGATCTATCTATATAGATTACATAAATGGCACTCCTGACCATATCAAGAGCTAATAAACACCTATTTATTAGCTCCTGACCATATATATATATGGCCACTATATATATATCAGTACGGACAGGAATCTAAAAGGCTGTCAAAAATCATTCTGGGTTTTGCTTCTGAGAATGACGTTTAGACTGAATTGATGAATTGGCAATTACCGTGAACTCAAGGAGAATGAATTGTGCGATACTAGAATTTCCGTGTGATGGCGCGGCAAAACTTGCACCAAAAAATCATCATTCTTGACGTGATGCGGCCATGGCCCATGATGCCGAGGCGCGCCGAGGATTGACACTTTGTGTCTTCCAATCACAGCCTACGCCGCACCAGTCGTTGATATTTTTAAATATGGGGACCCATTGGACCACCAAATTGCCGATCTCAGAAACTAGGGCATTCTGCTATGTTAGAACGGTTTCCTACGATAGAGTTTGGCACAAATACGAAAATAACACGCTTGTTTAGCGCATGCGTCCTGCTGTAGCATTTTCGCATCTCCGTAATCAGAATAAGCCCCGCCTTCTTCGTTGATGCATGGGCATGAATGGGGCGTCAACGACGTGACCCGTTACTGTACCTACTGTCTTTCGCCAGCCTGTTTACTTTTCGTAAATAATGAAATGCCAGGCCGATGCATTTCGCATCGAAGTGGAAAAATTCGGCATTTTTACCCGCTTTCGGAAGTGAACAAGTGCGTCATTCATTGAACATTCACGTTTTTCTTAAAATTAAATAATTCCGAAAATCCCTAACCGCGCTACTCGATTATTTTAGCCAATGAACGTAGCTGTGTGTGTGACGTCTTGCCCGTGCGCTTCATGCTAGGCTTAGCGGGTCTCAAAATGGATATATCGGAGGCAGGCACCTCGCAACACGCGTGTTTGTCTACATGTAGCTTTGTGACATGGGGATGGGCGGTGTCGGGAGTTCTGCGATGATAAACCTCGTAATTTCTCAGCATTTCTTAAGGTGCATGGAACATTTTACCAATTTAGTGGTGTCAGTTAGTCACCGATATGTCACAGTAAGTACTAACCGTATAATATGTTTCACATACCTTCCCCTATTTTGCACACAGACGGTCAATCACTGTGAAAAATTGTGTGAAGATTTATTTTTATTGAGACGTTCCAAGTGCCTGTGCTTTCAACGGTCTTGTACGTCAATGCACGTGCGTCAAGAGCCACAAACTCAACACTATTTCATCTCTGTTATTGTTTACGCCTGAATGCGTGATTGATCAGGGAGGGGGTGCATGTAAGAGGGAGACATTTTCTTTGGGGTTCCGAAAAACACAATTCCACTTGACAATTACATGGGCCATTTCAATTGGAAGCTCTGCATAATCGACCCCCAACAAGCCCTTTGACTGACTAGTCAAGAAATTCATCCGCTCTTATTTAGCCGCTGATAGTTCTTATTTAGAACAAAGTCTTCATTGTTATCTTCTAAAACTACAGACCATCCGCTGACCGCTGTGGAGACGTGCGCCGGGCCTCGAATTTGGCGCACGTCTCCACTGCGGACAGGGCTTCATACTTGAACATCCCCGCTGTCGCGTGCGCATATCCCGAGGAACTGCGCGTCTCATCCGCACGCAGCGCTCAGGATCAACAGCAAAGCTGTGCCACGCAATCTTGCATCATGTCTCTCTGGATTCTTGTGTTACGATTAGCTTTTGGGGGTAAGACTAAGAGTCTATTTTACGACACGGATAACTTTATCGCTATCAAGGCGATGTCTAAATCATAAAATCACGTGGGGTTTTGCATTGCTTTGCAATCGAGCAGCTATTGCATTTGCAAAGCAATTTCATGCATTGATCAGCGACACAATGCCATTCAGCCGAGTCAAAAACCAAACTGTGATTGCGTTTCAAAAATGTTTAGATGCAGTTAAATTTCCTTACTGAGCAGCACAAAGACGTGAAATCATTCTAATATCTACGCATATATGCAATTTGCACCAACTGAAATGGAGAGTGAAATGCACTCTCAGTCTCTCACTGTATGGTCTGTGCACGCACTATCACGCAGTGTCAACATGATGCAGTCAACATCAAAAGTAATGTAAGATGGCTATCGCACGGAACTTTTACAGCGTGCGAGCTTGGCACTCGCTCGCTCGCCAATGTCGAGTGAAAATAATATCGGGCGAGTGAAAGCTAAAGCTGACTCGCCCATGTTGGCGAGTAAAAATAATTGTCTTAAACTTTAATCAAATGTTGGTTCCTTACGATATATATCCAAACATTGATGAAATACAGTTGTAGCGATTGTGAAGGGCGGCTATTCCACGACATCCTCACTTTATATTATCAAAGGTCGCCGAAGAAAACAGCCCGCTAGAGCGTGCAGCGCCAGCACAGCGTGGCTGTGTATACGTGCCTGGGGCGGCATATTGATTGATGTACGGGGAGGGGGGGGGGTAGTGCAGAATTGTTTAAAAGTCACGTTGGTCTTGGTGTTAACAAGTCAATAAAATCGGCGTAACGTGGCGTTTCACTGATGGGGCAAAGCAGCCCGAGAATAAAAGTAAATTAAATGAAAATGAAAACAGGAACTTTCAGAAGAGATGTGCCTTGAATTTTTGAGAAAAGTGATCAGTGAATTACATGTGTAGTTAAATCAATGGTGTTTTTGTGTTTTTTCACTATTGTTTGACAAGCATTTTTGTTGTAAAATTTGGGCGAGTACAGATTCCGTTTGGGCGAGTTAACTTATTGACTCACTCGCTCAGTTTGGCGAGTGGTTTTTATTTTAAAGCTCTAACACTGTACTACTGTATAATCTTAACGTTTTCTTACTCATCGTTATACGTAGGTAACTGGGCAACCAGGTTGCTACCTGCACCGTACTCGAGACCAATTACAGCATCCCGACATTGAGCGTACGAGATGATTGCGCGAGGGCGTACAGCAAGCAACATTAAAATCATTAATTTCTGGCATCCCATAGCGTGCCGACCAATCCGCGGGGGTTCACACCTACACACGCTCCAGTACAACCAACTCCGCACCACCTTAAACTTAAGTGACCCAAGTCTTGTGATGTAGCTTTGACCTACTTGGTTCCCCCCAGCTTGGTTTTATTTAGTTACTTTTTCGATAGAAGAACGTCTAGAGGTTGCATGCACAACATGTAGTATCACAAACCTTATAGAGATTAATTTCAGCTCATTACATGCAACATTTGCGACAAGGCGATGCATGTTCTAAACACTTTTAATTTCACTTAGAATATTTTCAAACTATTATATTATTTATTTATGAAATTAATTTATCAATTGATGCATGTTATGACTCATCGTAAAGATTAATATATATACTGTACCATCTGCGTTCGGGGCCTCATCCTGGGCTGCATACAGCAAATCCTTCAGCATCTGAATAGAAACACAAGACACATGAGCAACGCTTGCTTCTCATCAAGCTCTCCTATACGAAACACCTGATCCCTGCATTATGCGTGCAGTGCTCTGTTGCACAGTACATTAGCAATTCTATTCCTAGTCTCCACCCCCCACCCTTTCCCTAGGGGTAACAAGGAGCCTCCTAGGTTTCATGGTCACGGCCGCTGCGCTAGGCCGCCGTTTCCAAACTCCAACTGCCTATTTGCTCTCTCGTGTTTCTTATACTAAAAGAAAATAAACTCTCGGCAAGCCACGAAACCAACAGTGGGGCGCTATCTATCCGCTGTGTACGTAGCAACATGTTGCCGTGCTGATTGTGATGTCTATATGTCTGCAACCTACAGTACAGACACACCTGGCAAACGTACAGACTAACATTTACCGCATCTAGAACTTTCTGTGTTTCACAAGCTATTTCTCTTTGTTTCACAAGCCATTTCTCTTTGTTTCACAGGCTATTTCTTCTTGTTTCACAAGCCATTTCTCTTTGTTTCACAGGCTATTTCTTCTTGTTTCACAGGCCATTTTTCTTTGTTTGCAATTGGATATGGGGGTTTCCAGAAGGCAGTAGGCCTTCTTCCACAAAACTTGAAACTCTGCATGAACCACGAATTATATAGGGAAGGGGGCTATTGCACCCATTGCTAAACACTGCACTATTAAGAATCTCCAACATAAAAATCAAATCATGGCATCGTTCTAACGTTACAGTGAATGTTAATAAATGGGATAGATGTTTATCCGAGTGGCTACAAGATTTTAGTGCCCGGTCACTACACTGGATTGGCATCATGACCTGTGGGTTTGTTGCCAGTACTAATACTTACAGGGTTCAACTTAGGGTAAGCCAAGTAAGTCCGCAAGCAAGACTAGTCATATTTCTTCTCAGTACAAGCTGTGCACACAGTGAAATTAAATGGGTTTTGACTATATCTTAACCCGACCTAGCTCCAAGAAACGGTATTGCTAAGGTTAGAATACCCAGCAGTCTAGGGTATAGACAATCCGTCGCACAGCCTGGTCGGGCTAAACCCGACCAGGCTGTGTGACTAACGTCAATACACCCTAGTATTCTAACCCTAGCAATACCGTTTCTTGGAGCTAGTCGAATCTATGATCTTGCAGTGCAGCCTTGATCTTGCAGTGCAGACTTGCAGTCATACACTGATATGTACAGTCTTGTCGGGTTATTTACATTACTATCAATGACAATATCATAGTGACGGGAAGTTGTACTTGCAAGTAGTTGTAGTGTACGGCACATATATATTCTATCTCTTATTATATTTCTCTGTAATGATCGCTCTAACAGACGTACGTAAAAACTCTGATACACGTACGTGAAAACGTGATACACTTCATCTTTCTGTTGAGATGCGTCATAACGCACGTTTCCTGCAACGCTGAAAGCAATTTAAAGCTAATATGTCACCCTACGTTGTAAGGTCTGCGACTAAGAGGCCACGGTGGATGGCAAACCCACAATGGCATAGCAATATATAGAGTTATATATGGATATGGTGCCTTAGGCACCAATTGATATTAGTTTAGTATGGTGTAATAGGGTATAATACGAGCAAACAAGAGGATATTATTCAATCGCCCGCGATGTTTTTCTATAATAATTGACACAGCGCCGGAGGCACCTCTGCTAAAAACACGGGGTATATGTGAGCTATCACATTGCTTTAGAAACCAACCAGGTGAACACGTGCGAATGGACGTAACATCGATTTATTCCTCTTACATAACTTGGACGAACTAACTCAAAAGGTGTGCACCCGCTTCAGAGCGGAGCAGATACAACTCTCTAACCGTAACCTCTAGCACTAACAATAACCTTGACCTTAACCTTAACCCTAACCGTGACCTTTATCTTACCCTAACCCTAACCCTGATTCTAACCATAACCCTAACCCTAACCCTGATTCTAATACTATCCACAATCCTAATCCTAACCCTAACCCTGACCCTAATACTATCCCTAACCCTGACCCTAACCCTAATCCTAACCTTGACCTTTATCCTAACCCTGACCTTTATCCTAACCCTGACCCTAACCCTAACCCTAATGCTATCACTAACCCCATCTCTAACCTTGTCCCTAACTCTAACCCTGACTCTAATCCTATTCCTAACCCTAACCCTAACCCTAACCCCAACCCTAACCCTGACCTTTACCCTAATCCTTATGCTGACGCTCTATCTTTAACGCCTACCGTTGTAAAACATCAAAGTCAGTGAGATGTCATGTTGCATTCACTTCAAAATTAATGCTCAACAACCCCATGCTCGTTAGTAATAGAATAGTTGGCAGTAAGCTGGCATCGTCCGTTATAGGTACGATGAGAACGGCGGCTCCTGGATTTCATCTGTCATCTGTAACCAGATTAATGATCGAGCTGCCGAAAGTGAACGACGTCTACAAGTGAGTGGCGCCACCTATCCACGGATCTTTCGTCTATTCGATCATCTTAATGCGCGGGTCTGTTCGCGCATTTCTCTCTAACGAGAAAGAATTTCTGCGGCAGTTTTGTAGTGCTATAGTTGTTGTTGTTGTTGTTGTTGTTGTTGTTGTTGTTTTTGTTGTTGACAAGGAGCTAGCTAACACCTAGCTGCTGCTATATAGTTATACCGCTGCATAAATGAATCAGAAACAGGATAACATATATAAATATGAAAATATTATTGCATATATATATATAATATATAGCACACAACAGCACACCAGCACACACACACACACACAGCACACACACACACATCACACACACACACCACACCACCCAGCACACACACAGCACACACACAAAAACACACACGCACGCACGGGCACGAGCAGTCGGCACGCACGCACACACACACACACACGACAAACACACAGCACAGCACACACACACACACACACACACACAGCACACACACAGCACACACATATATATATATATAATATTATATAATAATAATATATGATATATATATATTAGTATATATATCAATATATAGGCGCTCCCTATATATGTCGTTTTTGCTGTCATGAATTAATTGGAATTTGAACATGTCTCGTGAATATTGTATATGTATTTTGTAAAAATGTATTTAATAAATCATTCTATCACTGAGTAAATAATTTCTCATTGGATTTAGTTTGGTGCACGAATGAGATTTTTATACAAACTTACGACACGTGGGTCTTTATGTAAGAGACATTAAACAAACGCAAACCAAAAAATCGATAATTTAGTAGTGCCATATTTATTTTAGAGGCGGTATTTTTGTGTGACAAATATATTTATTGATTGACCGGAAAGAAAAAGGAAACCATCTTGTATCACTTCAACTTTGAAACGAATGTGCCAGACAAAGTGGTATTCCAATTAACATGAATTAATATCCAAATAAATGGTACCTTTTCTAAGCCCTCACGATCGACACATTGATACGGACGCTAGTATGTCTGATGTCAATAAACAGCAACACAAATCCGTCAATGAGATATCGTTCTACTCCTTGACAACTTTTTAACTATAAGACAACTTCACAATTCTAAAGTTGTGTTTAAACTATCTATTTCTTGCTAGATAATAGACGAATTTGATGAATTTTTCAATTATTCGACTGCAAATCTGCAGTGTAAACGTAAAAGTCTTGCAGGCAAGTGGTTAATATCAACTTGTTGGGAGATTAGAACAGCTATAGGTTCTATTTTCGCAACTCTGTGTAGGCGAATTGATCATGTTTTTGCCATGCGGTCACTCAGCGAACTCAGGTTGACTCAGAAAACAGCAAAAAACGTTTTTGCCGTCGGCGCCACACTGGCGCGAATTAATACGTATATAATGCGTATCCTCGTCGCCCGCGCGCACACTGCGGGTTAAATGTTGACACGTTTGCCGACCGGCGGTCGATAACGTAAAAACTTTAAACATCTGATAGAGAGGTTGATAGAACGTTAAAACCCCATAGTCTAAACCCAGTTTAACACAATTTATTAACTCTAACACAACTTCTTAGCTTTAAAACACGTTTATAATTCAACGACAACTTAACTATAATTCAACCTCGTAACTCTAAGACAACTTCACAATTCTAACACAACTTGCTAACTTTAAGAAACCTTTATAATTGCAAAGACAACTTCTTAACTGCAATACAACTTCGTAACTCTAAAACAACCTCACAATTCTAATACAACTTTAAGAAACTTTTATAATACTAATCCAACTTCTTAACTCTAACACAACTTCATGATTTTAAGATACCTATATAATTCGAAAAAATCTACCAGGGAGATATTACACACTTACATGGAATTTCAACACATTTACAATCCAGATGAGACGGGATACTAGAGAAGCGTTGCCGAAAGGAGGTGTTGATCCGAAGCGCTGAGCGCAGATCTTGCGCGCAGTTCCGCGGCAAGGCGCACGCGACCGCGGGAACGTCATCGGTAACATACAGGTACGTACCGTCGGTAACATACAGGTACGTACCGTCGGTAACATACAGATACGTACCGTCGGTAACATACAGGTACGTACCGTCGGTAACATACAGGTACGTACCATCGGTAACATACAGGTACGTACCGTCGGTAGCATACAGGTACGTGCCGTCGACATAATGTCGATCGTACAGTTTGGTTCGACATAATGTGGAAGCTCCTGACCGATATGCTATGGTCTAGGCAAGTCTTTGCAATTGAGCCCATGACTTTTTTGTCTGAGCGACCATAATATTTACACCGTGCAAGATTTCTTTGTTTACTAATCGTCGATTGGACGATACAAGACGCGATTGAAGATTGTATTCGGTTAACTTCTCGCTGTCGTAGATAAAACTCATGGTGACCGACGACGCCTTACAACTTATAGATAACTCCAGACAAATTCCTGTAAAAAAAAGTTTAATTATGCTGCGTTTACACTATCGATTTTTGTCAGCAAATCGTCCGAGTCGTGCAAAATAGAACACATTCTATTTCTCCAACTCGGCGACTTGACTCCGTCTCCGACTCCAACACATACAATCCATAACAATCGAATTCCAGCCGATTAGTTGGAATGCACTTGAAATCGGTACGATTTGCTGACAAAAATCGATAGTGTAAACGCAGCTTAACATTGGTCGACATTTGTCTCCAGAAATCAAACTTGGAAAACAAAAGAATTCCGGGAAAAAGTTGTCCTTTGGCTGTACGCGGAATGTGTTGCATTCACAGGGCATGCTTAACTTCTACCCTGCGCTGCGACACCTGCCCGTCTTCAGCCGCATGCTGAAAAAGATGGACGCAGCGTACGTAGGGTTGAACAAGGAGCTGGAGAGTAACATAGCAGAGCACGAGGAGCAGGCGCCGGAGAAAGAGGGAGACGTGAGAGACTACTTAGACGCATACCTGCTAGCGCAGCGGCAGCGGGCGGGGACAGATTCTTCATTCACTAGTGAGTCAAGCGCTGCACGAACACGCACGCACACACCCACGCGCACGCGCACACACACACGCGCACACGCACAAACACATGCACAAACACACGCACACACGCACATCCTATAGAAAAGCACGTTCGCACGCACGCACAGATGCACGCCACCATATACACGCACACAAGCAGGCACTTACACACAACGCGCGCGCACGCGCGCGTGCAAGCACTAGGCGCATATGACAAGAACGAATGATGTTATATGAAATATATATTAAGCGTGGCATCCGACAAACACACACACACACTCGTGTCGGCGTCATCTCTCAGCTTTTCCGCTGCTCATGTCAGTGCGTGATCTGTTTTTCGCCGGATCGCACACCGTCATGACGACGCTACGCTGGGGCCTGCTCTTCATGCTCAAATACTCTCACGTCTTGCGGAGAGTGCAGGCCGAGATCGATGACGTCATCGGACGAGGAAGGCTACCATGCATGGCAGACCAAGGCCACATGCCGTACACGCGGGCGACAATAGCCGAGGTGCAGAGAGTAGGTGAGAGAGAAAGCTAGCGTGGTCAGTAGGTGGAATGTACCAGTAGGTGGCAGTTATACACAGTAGGCCTGATTAGGTTCGACACAAATATTGTTTGATAATACTTGGCAGGTTTCTTTCGCACAGCATAACTAGGCGAACGACACTACTAAACGTCTAGATACTCTGAGAGAACGCGATCCGCGAGTTTCTTTCTTGTTTCTAGCGGACATTGTGCCTCTGAGCCTGCCACACAGAACGACCGCCGAGTTACAGCTAGAAGGCTACGTCATCCCCGCCGGTACGATGATCATTGCTAACCTCACGGCCATCCTGAACGACCCGAAACACTTCCCCGAACCGGAAAAGTTCCGCCCGGAGCGCCACCTGGACGAGCGTGGAGACTTTGTGCAGAACGAAGCGCTGATCCCGTTCTCTATTGGTGAGATTACTTGCACGCCCGCAAGATGGCGATACCAGGGCAAGGAGAATACAGTGACGTCACCCGTCAAAAGACTGCAGCGGTGATCGTGGTTGGGGACCCCTGCTAGGTTATTGTTTTCAAGGGGTGCTGATTGGGCGATGCCCTGAAACCCGCCAACTTGTGGATTTTGATTTTTTCACATAATTGCAACTAAATTGTTAACCTAATATGTTATGTTAATTGTTATGTTAAACTAATATAACATAATAAACATTGGAACTAAATTGGTGTTTAATACACCGTCGTACATGTTTTTACATGACCAGGGTGTGTTTTACCATATCACGGCACGGCAGACTACTCCCCCACTCCCCTTCTCTGATCCAATCTCCCTAAACTTCTTAACAATAATGTTTATTTAAATCGATATTCCCTTTTTATTATAAGAAAATAATAATAATCCTCATTATCTTCTTCATCATCATCATTATCGTCATCAGCGTCATCAGCATCATCAGCATCAGCATCATCATTATTATTATTATTATTATTATTATCATCATCATCATAGCTACTGAAAACTTCCTGAAAAATTTCCTCAAAATAATATCATGAATGCATCTTGAGATCACAGTATAACGGGAATTTCTCACGCACGGGGACTCGAACCCTAAACCTCAGAATTTATTGTCACGCCAAGACTACGCCCTCTCTCCACCATCCAATCTTTGAAGAACCTTCCTAATGATGGTGTCTGTTATTTGTCGACAGGTCGTCGCGTCTGTCTGGGAGAGACCCTCGCGCGAGCAGAGCTGTTCATATTTTTCACAGGCATTCTGCAGAACTTCGGACTTCATTTTAAATTCATAATGTTTGCAAAATATTTTTCTTCTCGGGAGATATTGCGCATGCGCGAGCACCGTTTCAGACGCGCGGTACGGCCAAAGGAAAAGCACGTAAATATAGATTGCTGAGGGAGAGAGGGGTGGGAAGATGGCAGGAAACACAGTCGAGGGGCGGTGAAAGGAGAAGGCGGCTGAGGGTGCGACAATGTAGACAACGGGGAGGGCGGGCGGTGATAAAGTAGGAGTTTTGCACCCTACAGGCTAGGGCGCTCTCCTAACTATAAGCAGAGGTCTACTAATAAGAATTAATTACAGAAACCTATGTTGAGATATCCCTTGACAATACTAAATGCATTTTTATCCGAAAATAAAACTCCTCTGGTGATATATTGCACATGCGCTAAACCAGTAACGTAGCCAGATTATGTACTTAATGTTATATGCGGGGAGCTTACATGCAAGGGCTGCATTCCGTTTCTGAAGTGAGGTCTACTGATGAAATTTTATCATATAAATCTATGCTAGGATAACCCCTCTTCATTTTAAATTCCTAATGTTAGCAAAATATTTTTCTTCTCATGAGATATTGCGCATGCGCGAGCACCGTTTCAGACGTGCAGTACAGCTAAAGGAAAAGTACGTAAATATAGCTTGCTGAGGGATAGAGGGGTGGGAAACTAAGGGAAGGTGGCAGGGAACACAGTCGAAGGGCGGTGGAAGGAGAAGGAGGCTGAGTGTGGGACAATGTAGACAAAGAGAAGGGCAGGCTGGAGATAAAGTAGGAGTTTTGCGCCCTACTGGCTAGGGAGCTCTCCTAACTATAAACACAGGTCTCCCGATAAGAATTTGTTACAGAAACCTATGTTGAGATATTCCTTGACCATACTAAATGCGTTTTTATAACAAAATATAACTCTTCTGGTGAGATATTGCGCATGCGCTAAAACAGTATCATAGCCAGGTTATGCACTGACTGATCGATATATGAAGTGGGGACCTTTCATGCAAGGTTTGCTTCCTATTTCTGAAGTAAAGTCTACTTATAAAAATTGGTCATATCAATCTATGCTAGGATGACCCCCCTTTATTTTAAATTCATAATTTTAGCAAAATATTATAATCTTCTCGGGAGATCGTGCGCATGCGCGAGCGCCGTTTCAGGCGTGCTGTACGATCTAAATAATAGTACGTAATATATACGATATGTACATATACGATTGTACATATCTACCACAGATATCAATAGCTACTGGAGAACTAGCGAGCGCGCGCGTACTAGCCTTACATAATACAAGTCTACGTTAAATTCCTGTGCATGCTTGTAGGATCGGATATGGAGTGACAAGATTCTGAAACTCGAGACAAGCAAAACCTTTCAATATCCCTTACCTAGGGCACCTAGCAGTAGTATACGGTCGCGGTTCCTGTATTCAGTTTAGGCTATCAATCGGGAGTCATTTTGTATACTTTCTATTTTTTTCATTTAGTGGAGACAACACAAAATAATAATATTATAGAAGGGGCTTGAACATTATGCAGAAGCACATGTTCAAAAACCTGGGGAGGACATTTAGTAGGGTGGACGTGTCCCCCGTGTCCCCATGGCATTTGCGCCTATGTGTATGGTCACATCTTACTTACTAAGGAGGCAATAAACGTGTGAAATATACTACCATTAGACACAAAAGAGCTCCCTTCACGTAGTACATTAAAAAACGGTTAAAAGGTAATTTTAACAGTTTTTAAATTCATAATGTTTGCAAAATATTTTTCTTCTCGGGAGATATTGCGCATGCGCGAGCACCGTTTCAGACGCGCGGTACGGCCAAAAGAAAAGTACGTAAATATAGCTTGCTGAGGGATAGAGGGGTGGGAAACTAAGGGAAGGTGGCAGGGAACATAGTCGAGGGGCGGTGGAAGAAGAAGGAGGCTGAGTGTGCGACAATGTAGACAAAGAGAAGGACGGGCTGGGGATAAAGCAGGAGTTTTGCGCCCTACTGGCTAGGGAGCTCACCTACCTATAAACAGAGATCTACTGATATGAGTTTATTACAGAAACCTATGTTGAGATATCGCCTGACCATACTAAATGCGTTTTCAACACAAAATAAAACTTATCTATTGAGATATTGCGCATGCGCAAAAACAGTAACGTAGCCAGGATACGTACTTAATGGTATCTGTAGCGGGGACCTTACATGCAATAATGCAAGGTCTGCTTTCTATTTTTGAAGTAAGGTATATTGATAAAATTTTATCATATAGAGCTATGCTAGGATAAGCCCTCTTTATATTAAATTCATAATGTTTGCAAAATATTTTTCTTCTCGGGAGATATTGCGCATGCGCGAGCACCGTTTCAGACGTGCGGTACGGCCAAAGGAAAAGCACGTAAATATAGATTTCTCAGGGAGAGAGGGGTGGGAAGATGGCAGGAAACACAGTCGAGGGGCGGGGAAAGGAGAAGGCGGCTGAGGGTGCGACAATGTAGACAAAGGGAAGGGCGGGCGGTGATAAAGTAGGAGTTTTGCACCCTACAGGCTAGGGCGCACTAGCTCCTAACTATAAGCAGAGGTCTACTAATAAGAATTAATTACAGAAACCTATGTTGAGATATTTCTTGACAATACTAAATGCGTTTTTATAACACAATAAAACTCGTATGCTGAGATATTGCGCATGCGCTACGGCTAAACCAGTAACGTAGCCAGGTTATGTACTTAATGGTATATGCAGCGAAGACCTTACATGTAAGGTCTGCTTCGTATTTCTGAAGTGAGGTATACTGATGAAATATTATCATATAGAGCTATGACAGGATAAGCCCTCTTCATTTTAAATTCATAATGTTTGCAAAATATTTTTCCTCTCGGGAGATATTGCGCATGCGCGAGCACCGTTTCAGATGCGCGGTGCGGCCAAAAGAAAAGTATGTAAATATAGCTTGCTGAGGGATAGAGGGGTGGGAAACTAAGGGAAGGTGGCAGGGAACATAGTCGAGGGGCGGTGGAAGGAGAAGGAGGCTGAGTGTGCGACAATGGAGACAAAGAGAAGGGCGGGCTGGGGATAAAGTTGGAGTTTTGCACAGTACGGTATTGGTCGCTCACCTACCTATATAAACAGAGATCTACTGATATGAGTTTATTACAGAAACCTATGTTGAGATATCGCCTGACCATACTAAATGCGTTTTCATCACAACATAAAACTTATCTATTGAGATATTGCGCATGCGCAAAAACAGTAACGTAGCCAGGTTACGTACTTAATGGTATCTGTAGCGGGAACCTTACATGCAATAATGCAAGGTCTGCTTCCTATTTTTGAAGTAAGGTATATTGATAAAATTTTATCATCTAGAGCTATGCTAGGATAAGCCCTCTTCATTTTAAATTCATAATGTTTGCAAAATATTTTTCTTCTCGGGAGATATTGCGCATGCGCGAGCACCGTTTCAGACGCGACATACATACATACATACATACATACATACATACATACATACATACATACATACATACATACATACATACATACATACATACATACATGCATATACAAATATGTTTCAGTTTACTGTTGTTGTCAACGATGTGGAGCTAGCAAGGGAGCCATTTCTCAACCAGGGCGAGCATACGGCGGCGCGACCATTCCACTATGTGCTGCAACGCTATGACGCGGACGATCGTGGTGTTATGAACGGTGCGTGCGTTATACTTTCATGCTTTGTTATGTCATACAGTACAAATTCAATGAATTAAGCCATCTTTCAAAAACCATGATGCCATGAGCTGATCATATATTTCATAATGAAGCAAGTGTTGTATTGCGCATTGTGCCACGTATTGGCGTGTAACAGTAGGTCAACGTACAATACATTTCTCCTCATTTCGTTTTGCTAATAATAAAAATCTATTCTTGTGTACGCAATTACCAGTACAGAACCCAATCTCCGACCAAATTCTTTTAGCCAGGTACATTATACTAAATTAAAAGACTTTGGAACTGAATTATTTTGCGCAATGAAGAAACATAACTCCGTTTCTCTCTACAACTAAGTTAAGCCTATCAAGGAAGAAATAGGAATCAATAAAATAATCAATCTATCATGAGAAACTGCATTCCTACGCGATCTCATGGGCACTGCCGAAATCAATATTAAGATTTGAACCG